GGGGTGTGCCCGAAGCGTGAATCCTTATAAGGGAAAACACGATTCCTAACACTGTTTCTACACCGGACACGAGCGGCGCGGTGCGACAAAATACTATAGAACCACTGATCTATAATAGAGATTTATTATATATAGATCAGTCTATAGAACTCATTATAATCAGTGATGCTGTCTACACTGGATGCGGCGCGACACGACAAATCCCTGACAGTAAACTGCTGCCGTGTTCTAATTATGACGTGCTGACACAAATTTCAAATGATTTTCAACGGTCGCTTTGTCGTGTCCAGTGTAGACAGACTTTAGCTGATGCGGCGCGACACGACAACTGTCGCGTCTGGTGTAGACACGGTGTAACGGTTGCCTGTTACATTACAGTACATAAAATCATGATGCCGGCTCAACATCATGATGTCTATCAGCCATCGGCGATGAACAATGGCATCGTCTATCGGCCCAACCCTAGATTATACACAAATACTAAGAAATACAAAAATGCAAGGACACATTAAATTGATCAAAAGTGTCAGTCAAGACATTTGTAATGTTACAAAAGGTTTCTATTTTTAATAAATGCTGTTCTTTTGAGCTTTCTATTCATCAAAGAATCCTAAAAAAAGGTTTCCACAAAAATATTAAGCAGCACAACGGTTTTCAACATTTATAATGTTTCTTGAGCAGCAAATCAGCATTTTAGAATGATTTCTGAAGGATCATGTGACACTGATGACTGAAGTAATGATACTGAAAAATCAGCTTTGCACCACAGAAATAAATTGCATTTTAAAATGTCTTTAAATAAAAACAGTTCTTTTAAATTGTAATAATATTTCACAATATTACTGTTATTTTTGATCAAATAAATGCACCTTTTGTGAGCAAAAGAGACTTCTTTTAAAAACATATCTTACTAACCCCATCTTTTGAATGATTTCGCATGTCTGATTGCATTTATATGTCTAAAATTGGAAATATGTATGTTTGTGCGTTTACACTCACCCTTGTGTCTCCTTCAGGAGCGAGAGGGTCCGTCATCCAGGATCCGAACCGAGACCCGGATGTTTTAATAGTGATTGCATCACTAATGCCAGTCAGCTTACCACACGCTGTAGGACACACAACACACATATTTAACTACACGCATATATAATTGCGCACACACACACACAAACTTTCTTACGAGAAGCTTATTGTCACACAAGTTTAATGAGTTTAGAGATTTAATGCTGTAATGTTATGATGAGTCTGATTCAGTCATAATTACTGTGGTAATCTTATATCTTGGAGTGTTATGATTAAATGACATTAATTGAGTCACACTGAGCTTCATTATGAGCTTTCATGGCGAAGATAGAGAGAAAAATAAAATATAATATAATATAGGAATACAGATGAATGTTTTTCATGTTTGTGACGGAGAGAGAATAGAATATACAGATAAATCGTAAGATAAATATAAAAAAATATGTTTTTTGACATGTGGTGATAGTGAGTAATAACCGTGATGTATGTGTGTGTGTGTGTGCCATTCAACACACACACACACACACACACATGCTTGAGATTAGCACACTGAGCTGTAATCTGTTGTCTGGAGGGAGATACAGGATTAAATTATTACGCTACTATCTTTAGACTAAAGCCCTGATTCTCTAATATTGCAGACACCACAGACACGCATCCGCAGAAAAATGCACAACCCTCTCACACAATGTACATGATTACTGATTCATTATTGTCAATATATGCCCTGTAAAAAAAATATTTTTCAAAGTAGTAAATAAATATTATTAGAACTACTACTGTTACTAGCCATTTCTTTTTTTATTTTTGAGATTTCTGAATGAAAATTAGTTTTTTACACCAATATTTTTTTTTTCTCAGTATACAGGAAAAAACAAATTTCATGTGTTAGCACATCGGAGAACATGGTAAATTCTTGTGTTCTTGTTTAATCTCATGTGATCACATCAAAATGGCATTTGAGGAATTATATTTGAACAAGTGAAATAGTGAACTAGATTTTTATGTTTCTGATGAAAATGTGATTTTTGCTATAAATCTAAATAAATAATAATAAATAAATTTTGCTAAAAAAAAAAAAAACAGTAATACATCTCTCCTCAACAAAACAAATTCATGCATGTCACATGTGGGATGAACAAATCCCACCATGCACCACGTTCAGATTACATGTTTCGCATGGTTTTACACCATGGGAATATGTGAAATTCATGTGGTTTTCCTGTAAATGTTTCATATTCATCAGAAGTGACACACATGGATGAAGCTCAAGTGTGTGTGTGTGAAAGGAGATATCAGTCAGTTGTTTAAAAGCCATATTGATCGTACAGTGAAACTGGCCCAGATTTCTCTTCCAGAAACTCAGGGTGAAGGAGAAAGAAAGATGATACACACCAGAGAAAAGCTGTGTGTGTGTGTGTGTGAGTGAGTGAGTGTGTGGATGCTGGGAAATGGAAGTTGTGATAGTGAATGCATACAGTAAGTTTACTCTTTTATAGCTCAAGAGACTTGAACTAAGTTCTCAGTTGTGCTTCATTTAAGTATCAGCTATGCTAAAATAAAAACAGACCCAAATGAGAGAATAGTTGACATACAGTAAGAGTACAGACTACAGAGCTGTAAAATTAATGTGGAGAGCAGCTCAGAACATTTGATCTTTGTAGAAATGGATGAAAAATATTGAAATCTGTGACTTTTGATTACAGACTTTTGGTCAAATCCAACAAAGTTTGAGATGCTGAGATTTCTGAAAACCCTCGAGGATACACATGAGAATACTGGGCTCTTTTTCTCAGGAGAAACATCTGAGAAGCAGGAGACGTAAGCAAAAGTTTCTCATTTGAGATTTTTCTTCATCATTGGGAAATGGCAGACGATGTGTTAGAGGAATGAGATTAGAGTGAATCAGAGAGAAGGTGAATTTACATTCAGATTTAACTTCATTTCTATATCATAATCAGTGTCTTAATTTGTACCCGATCTTTTTCAATAATTCTTTAGTTTGCGCTTAAAAATAAAGGTTCCAAAAGTTTTTTTTTTTTTGGAGTGATATCGTAGAAGAGCCGGTTCCCTTTCAGTGAACAGTTCTTAGAAGAATCAGTTTTCTTATTGTGATGAACCCTTTCGACTATAAGAAACCTGAAATGCAAAGGTCCCATGGATTTTAAAGGTTCTTAATGGAGCCAGTGATTCCAATAAAGTTTTTTTTTTTTCTTTTTCTTTTTTTTCAAGTGCTTTTGAAAACAATCATGTGTTGGTGCTTTAAAGAACCTAGAAGAAGCCAAAACACTGATCTTAAGACTATAATGTGACAAGAACTTTTTTAATCTTCAAAGAACTGCACAGAAACTCTAGAACCGGCCAAAATGGTTCTTGATCAGAAAATTCTTTGAACCTGAGATTCTGCTAAGAACCTTTATTTTTAAAAGTGCTGCTGGAAGTAATTAATGCTGCACCCTTGATTAACCATCAGATGTTTGTGACGCAGAGCGACTCGCACCCATTACTTTTTTGACTTTTTTAAAGGGGTCCTATTATGCTTTTTCACTTTTTCAACTTTAGTTAGTCTGTAATGTTGCTGTTTGAGCATAAAAAAGATCTGCAAAGTTACAAAGCTCAAAGTCCACTTCAAAAGGAGATATTTTATTTATCAGAAATCACTTTTCAAAAACTACAACGAACGACTCGTTTGGACTACAACGCACATTTTCCGGGATTTGTGATATCACAAAGATCGACGAATGGGACGAGACCTGGTAATGAGTGTTATCACTCGAGCCGTTCATGCCAGACTGGGGAGAGAGGTGTTGTAATAATGTAAAATATGTGAAAAATAATGTGTTTTTCGAACAACCTAGTATGAGAGCCTGTTCTAGTACACCCCCAAAACAAAATCAAGACTTTGTTTGTAAAAGAGCATAATAGGACCCCTTTAAGATAGAAAGTCAGGCGTCTACTCGCGTACATGGGTCGGTATATTTGTGACACGTTTACTCTGTGAGTAGCTAAAGTTGTCTTCTCTTGCCGATGTCCTCAAAGAAAAAAATATTCATAAGTTAAGTAAATAATGCTTGTTTTCATTCTAAAATGATAGTTTTTGTTAAATTAATTTTAATAGGTTCAGTACAAACATATGGCATAGTGTTGATTGCCACAAAAATAATTTTAAATAATTTGCTTTTAAAAAAGCAGAAATGGAGGTTACAGCGACGCACTTACAATAGAATTGAATTTCTGGAGGATTTACACTAAGATTATAACTTTATAAAAACACTTACTTCTGTTAAAATTCTGTTTTGAGTGATCGTTTTACAGTTTTTAGACTTTTTTTAACATTGTGTTGTAATTTCTGAAATGTTAATTTGTGTAATTTCTATTCATACTTTTTTCTGTTATTCTTATGTTCATTTTTATTCTATGTGCAGAGAGTCGAAAAAGCATTTCATGTCATACTATTTGTGTTTGTTGTCATGCCAACAAGTTGTAAAATTGTTCTTTACACAAATTATGTAAACACATATAGTTTACATCATGTGGCTGTAATATTGAAACAGTGAGTATTTTAACATTTGCAGATTGGCTCCATTCACTTCCATTAAAAGTGTCATCATTTTTTGTGGTGATCAACATATGCCACGAATTGAGCTTATTTTGTACTGTACCTGGAATTCCAGGACCAGTAAACAATGCTGATCCAGTATCATGTTTGGGGTAGACAAGTATTTTGCGTGTCTTACCGAGCTTCTGCATGCACGCGCGTAGCCGCTCCTCTAGACTAACCACACGGGAGTGCAGGTCATCGTAGTCGTAGGCTCCCATCTCCTGCTGGAGGAGACCGAGGCTGGTCGTCAAGTTCTGCACCTCCTCCTTAAACTGCTGAACCAGCCGCGCGTCTGCTTTGTACTCCTCCAGTACGGGGATCAGCGGACGCAGCTCCGCCATTTTTGCCTTTATGGCCTGCAAATATGTAGCGTTGGAAAGTCTTGCTTACTGTACGTTCTGAAACCTGTCTGAACCCTTGCTGCCTACGCCGATTTGAACAATCTAGGTGTTGAATAATGTTGTGTATACATTAATAGCATGTTTGTTCATCTCGGCACTCTTAAAATAAACGTTTGAATGGGTTTTACCACCATTGGAGTTCTTATAAAAAAACATATCTGCCTCAAAGTATGTGGACATCTAAACCATACCAATGTGCTTTTAAGTTTAGAACCACTGACATTTACAACGAGTTAAAGGGATAGTTCACCCAAAAATGACAATTCTGTCATGAATTACTCACCCTCATGTCGTTCCAAACCCGTAAGACCTCCGTTCATCTTCGGAACACAAATTAAGATATTTTTGATGGAATCTGACAGCTCTCTGACCCTCCCATAGACAGCAAGGGTACTACCACGATCAACGTCCAGAAACGTAGCAATCGATAAAATAATCCATGTGACATCAGGGGTTCAACCGCAATATTACGAAACTACGAGAAAAAAAAGACTTTATTCAACAATTCGTCTCCTCCGTGTCACCCTAGCTCCATTTTGGAGAGTATCCACTGAACGCAAGCAGCATATGTTGTTCTGTGTCAGCTGCGCCACGTTATTTTTTTTTCTTTTGCGCATAAAAAGTATTCTTGTAGCTTCGTAATATTACGGTTGAACCCCTGATGTCACATGGATTATTTTACCGATCTCCTTGCTACGTTTCTGAACGTTGATCGTGGTAGTACCCTTGCTGTCTATGGGAGGGTCAGAGAGCTGTCAGAATGCATCAAAAATATCTTAATTTGTGTTCCGAAGATGAACGGAGGTCTTACGGGTTTGGAACGACATGAGGGTGAGTAATTAATGACAGAATTTTCATTTTTGGGTGAACTATCCCTTTAAGACCCCTTCACACCAAGGATAAAACTATGACGATAAAGATATCGTTCTAGTTTTAAAAGAATGGCAGAGGCACACCACATTGATAATAATAATGGAACAAAGGAACTATGTCGTTGGAATCACTTTCAGAAAGATTTTTTCTAGCTGATGGATGATAAAAAACATTGACAACCAATCAGAATTCACCTGACTTTAAAGAGCTAGAGCATTTAAAGTGGCAGATGACAAAACTTATAATAAACAACGTTATCATGTGTTGGTGTGGACGCTAGTAATCGTTTTGGTGTGAACTGGCATTTAGTCATTCTTTTGCTTCTGTAACAGTTTCTACTCCTCTGGGAAGTTTTTCTAGATGCATGAACATGGATGCAGCGATTTGCTCCTGAGCATCAGTGAGGTCAGGTCTGGGTGTTGTGCAGGTTTGTCTGGTTTTTCCCCACCAGACGGCTTGATAAATCATATTTCTGAACCTCGGTAGAGAAAAAGAAAAAAAAAAGGTCCCACTCTGCTACAAAATCTTGTTTGCCCTTGTGAAAAAGAAATGTGCTTTTTGTGTTTATTTAAATTAATTGTATGGAATGTACACTTATAGTTTAAATTTTTACTTATAGTTTATATTTTTTTAAACTGTACTTATACTCTTATAATGTCAAATTAATAGTTTCAAAGAACATTTTAAGGCATTATGTATTAATCTTTTGTTGTGCTTTAAAGAAATATACTGATTTCAATCTGTTGACAAACATACTAAAGCACACGTAAAGTATTAAATTACTGCAATTACTCTAAACATTACATGTCTAAAAACATTGCATTCACTTCGCACTTAAGTATTTTCTTAAGTGTATTATTTCCATAATACATGCTCTTTATAAAAGTATGCCAAAAGTGTACTTCTTTTTCAAAAGGCAAAATGACTATATTGGTTGTAGTCTTGGTTTTTATGCATCAAGTTATATTGTAGATGAAAATCCTTTAACTAAAAGGTGTCCACATACTTTTGGCCATGTAGTGTATGTACCGATGCTTAAAAAATCCACTTTAACAACAAATGATGCCAATATTTAAGAACTTATTTTGTTAAACAAACTTACATTTTAATATAGCACCTCAAGTGCTTAAAAAATGTTTTTTAAGAAGAGGATTCTTTGCTGAAGTGCTTCAATAAACCATTAAAAACGTTTATTTTTAAGAGTCTATGTTTGTGTGTGTGTGTGTGCTTGTAGAGACAGTGAGAGACCAGAGGCCAAGCTGCAGTAAAACTACTCGTATCCGTATAGAAATTATATATCTACAAACATTTATCGACGAAATCAAGCGCTCTGAACACGGTAAACAATTGGGAAAAGACTTTATTAGTTGTCGTTTAGAATGCAACAGCAGAAAGGGACACATGCTGAAATTACAACTCACATACAACAATGTGATGTTAAGATTAAATTCTTTACTTCAAAAACGCATATTACTTCAAAAACCAAAGACTCATAGTGACAAATAATAAGAGTAATAATAATAATAATAACTTAAGCAATACTAGCAAAGATGAGAATAATAATGGTAGTAGTAATAATAGCAATATAGCAATGAAACTAGAAAATGTAGATCATATAAATAAAACGTAACAATTCTTTAGAGTAGCATGCATGAGGAGATCTGATTGGTGGTTGGATAAGGGAGGGGGGAGGAGTGTTTCTTACAGCTAATGTCGAATAGAATATGAGAATCGTGACATAAACAGCATGATTGACGCCCACTTCAGCCAATCGTGGGTTAGACCTGCCTCTTCTGGCCTCTGGCTCTCCTATCATGTCTTTATAGTTAGCCCTGCAAGCAAGAAACAACACACTCAGCACAGGGAGCTAACTCGCTAACCTAGCTAACACATTCACGTGCTCTCACAGTCACACACGCACATCTCATGTACTCGCACACTCACACTTGTGTTATAAAGTGCAAACAAAAATTATATTTCATGCATGTGTCAGGTAGTATAGTGTGGTTCATGGGATGTTTTGACTGTTATATTATAGAAAAACTGAAATGTGCAGATCCTTTATTTTTTTTGCTATTTTATTATAATAATACAATCATATTTAATTTAGTATTTTTCTGGTGTACAAGTGTACAAATAAATGTTTATATTTTTGCACAACAATGCAAATATTGCATTTGACCAAAAGTTCACTAATTGTTTGGATCGAATCAGACAGGTCTGCACATTTCACAAAAATCACACAAGCACACAAGTGTGCATGCAATCTGCAGTTTGTTCGTGTATGAAAGTGTGGAGCGATGTGTGCATTCATGTGAAATATGTGCACTGCTTGCATTTAATTGTGTGTTTACCTTGTATTGCTTGGCGATGTTTTGTTTGTGGTTCTCCTCCACCTGTCTGAATTTGGTCTCCAGGCCACGGAGTTGATCTTCCATCTTCACCACGTACTGCAGGTCCCTCTGAGTCCGCTGGTCCAATACTTGGATTGATTGTGTCATGTTTTGCACCTAAAAACACACAGGTACCAGATATTTAATATGTTTTGTAAATAAACACATTTCATAAAATTACTATTATTATTATTATTTGCAAATTGGAAAACTCACATGTGATTAGGCATATATATATATATATAATTTTTATAATTTGTTATATACACACACACACACACACACACACTTTATTACACTTATATAATATTATGTATAATATATATATTAATATCAAATTAACAGTAAATATATATAATTATATAATATACAGTGGGTGGGGTCTGAATACTTTCCGTACCCACTGTATATATTTAATTTGTTATTGTCTCTTGAAAAAATTCAATTTTGCTTTTCCTTATAATTTTATTTCATTTCAAATGTTTTTTGTAAAACATGATTTTGTATATAACTATATATTTTATAAGATTTTAGGTTTATTTTTTAACTTTGATAATTTGATATTTAATTCGTTATCCTCTCTTGAACAAATAGATAACGTTTTCTTGCTTCCACTGAGCTTGAAATGATCTGATTTTGAAGAAACATCTAAATATATCGACTCTGAACATCAATATATAACAAATCTAGTGACCTTCAGCAAACTAGCGAGTTCTGCAGCTATTCCATGTCTGCTAATGATTGATGTGTCCGAGGAGTTGCATCATTGTCTTTCTGAGGAAAGGCTGTTTGCCTTTGTGCCAGCCGTGCTCCAGAGGAACTCATTAACTGGGTGTTTGTATGTGAATGATATTGTCTGAGTTGTTAGGCTCATGCCTCTAGGTCACTTTGATCTCTGGAGGAGAACTCTGGTTGTCATAGATTCAGTGTCTTTGGCAACTTTACGTAGGTAACGTGATGCCCAAGGGCAAATCAATAGAGCATTATGGATCGGGAGGTCACCTTCTCCAGTAGCTGGCGGAGTTGTTTGGTGCGGGCATCTCTTGAGCACATGGTCTGCTGAGGTGCGACGACCGTACACACACACCTGCCCTCGCTGTCCTGAGCCGAGCTGTACACCTGCCAGGACTCCTCAGGGTTGGCGGGTAAAACCTGTGAGAAGACGAGAGAGAACGAGAGATATTACAACATCTAAAGTTCATAGTTTCATTTATAATCCCAGACTTATTGGCATTACAAACACACGACACAAGATTGCGCAAAATCCCATCTGCTAGTGCCACGTCAGACCACGCCCACGTCCCCACCCACCAATCAAAACGCAGCAGCTTTACATCAGCCTCATTCACGCTCACAGTTTTGAAGTCGTATTTGACTGACAGCTGTTAGAGAGAGGCGATCTATCCTGTTCAGCTGTATGTCGTTTCTGAACTGCTGTTGAGTTACAGATCCAATCACAGTCTGTCTGGAGTTGGTGACAGTGAGGGACAGATGGAGAATTGATGAACATTCACTGATGCAGGTCTGGAGAATCCTAAATGGAATATTACAACACTAGAAACTTTTGCAGTCTTTTCTAGTTATATTCCGTGGCCCATGGTAAACCCCATAGATTTAGTTTAATATTCAAAGTGATATTAAAATGAAAATTGTCCATGAAAGTGAAAAAGACTGAACCACGAAAGAGCTACACAGCTGCATTACATCTACAGTGTATTTGGTGATAGATAGCCTATTTGTTCCATTCTTTATTCTTTTTTTAAGCATAAGAATGTGCTCAAAACACGTTCTTGCGTTCAAAAGAACCTCTTTGTTTCTTTCAGTGGGCTTTTCCGTGCCTCATTCTAGTGAAATCACAAAAAATGCTCCTGATATCTATTGACAATTTTGGTTTATTAAAATAAAATAAAACTTTCATTAGAGCTAATTAGAACCTTGAGCGTTCGAAATTCCATGACATCACAATCAGCAGGTCCGTGAACGCCACTTTTGAAACCGAGAACACGCAAGGAGGCGTGCACACACGTTCCTGCATTGGACATTTTTAAAGAATGAATGGAGCAGAATGCAAAAGAATGAAAATTTGTATACAAAAAATATCGCAAAACACCTAATTGCAACGCGCTGCTATATGCGCGACTGGAAAATATTTGCACATGTTAAAAGCTATTAATATTTGAACTTTTCGTTTGAATTTTCAGGGGAAATAACCCGAGACTTACTCCTATACTCCGGTCTGGATAGCCGCCCTGCGCCGCGGTCAGTTTGGTGGTGTTGAGCCCCACTAGCGATGGCAGTGTCTGGGACATCCAGTTGGTGATCATTGCCATGGTGCTGAGCACCACACCGATCTTCAGCAAAGGCACCGACATTTCTGCACACTGACCCAAACTCTCATTCTACACAAGCCACCGGGAAACCGTAACGGCGAGCATCGCTGCCCGTGAGCGCCTCGTGCATCACCATCATCCGCAACATCTCCTCTAACGGTCCCGGTTCGGACGGTCTCGCAGTGCTCATCTTCATGAATGCCAATGATTGAATGGAGTCCCGTGTTGTTAGACTGATAAAACTGAGCGGTTGTGACCCTCGTCTCCGCGTGCTGCTCCCGTCTGGTGTCTTTTCCGTTATCCGTGTCTCTTTTGTTTGCCTTCACGCCCTTATTGGTCCGCCTTCTCCACGCAAGTGAATTACTCTGGATGGATTACAACTGCACACACCGACTGCTCTCCGTGGATGAGAAAGGAGGCGGCGCCACGCGCTCCTATATAAAGGAAAGCTTGAACGCGTCAAGCGCTTCTCTGCTCACGAGACGCGCCACCGGGGATTTGCACTTGGCAACGGATCCTGTTAATGACCCTATATTGTTTAAGGTTGTAAACGGAACATCCCAATGTCACGCCCCACTCCGGGTCAACGGGAGTGAATAACGTTCATATATCTCCCGCGCTCCCCTTTTGTTCCCCTATAATAATTGTAACTGTCACCGGTGCGCGAGTTATAAAAAAGACTTTCAATGCCGTCAAATTATCTGTCAGTAATTTTCACGGCATAATCCGTTGAGAATTCTTTCACACAACCAAAGTTTTCTTTTGCCGCCGACAGTTAACCGGAGTTTTAAACCAAACACTAAAGCTTTGTGATTAAAATTGTAATATGAAAGTCTATAATAAGGTTATAAGGTCAGTTTTATGATGTTCCTGTCATATTCTAAATGGAAAAATCGCTCGAGCAGCATACTGTTGCTATGGTTACGGCTTCAGGAGAACGCGTCCGCCCCCCCCCTACATGTGTACACGGATTGCTAGTGAAAACTGAGTGACAGGGTCCCGGAGAAGATCCACCCTGCATGCATCCTACACATGACATCCAGTGCCGTAAATGCATTAATTCAGTTTGCATTAGAACGACTCGAGCGCCCCCGTGTTGTGATCGGCGGTACTGTGATGCAATTACACCCGACCACTATCTGGCAGTAAGACAGAATGAGTTGTGTAGTCTAATAAATCACTTGTTTAACACCTATTAATCACAGACCTAGACATGACAGCGAGTAGTAGTGACACAGTTAGAGGTGCAAAGCACGTCATAATTAGATGTGCATGAATTGTAATACCAAAAATAACCACATTATATAAATAAACTGGGGAAAACCGGGACTATGCGTCACACTTCTTACAACAGTGAATATTTCTAAGGGTAGGTTTGTGATTGTTTTTTTAAAGATAATTTTTGTGTAAGTTCGGGCTACATAAAAGTTTTTTTTAATAATTATAATGTTATTGCACAGGAAAAAATAGATACAGTTCAGTTTGTACGTTTAACTTTGTCCCCTGCACTCGGGCATTTTGTCAAACTACATGGGGTAAGTTGACACAATGGGAACCTCCTTTTTAAAACTGATTTGAGAATATTTTTTGTTTGATATATTCAATAAGTCTTGCTGAATAGGCAAATCAAGTTTAAAATAACAAAAATATAGAACGTATGTGACACTATGCCCCAATAGTAATGTAGCATATATATATATACATGCACATGTTTAAAATCCATACTTATTTGTTTTTCCCCTTAAAATAGAACCTGAATTTAAAGAACAGAACCTTCTTGGTTGTTTAATAAATGAACCAGATTATAAATCCAAAATAAACTGCTATTTTGGAATAAAATATGAATATATCAAAGGTACGGCACTTAAGGTAGACTGACCTTTGAGCGAGAGAGAAACACAGGCTGAGAGAGATTCAGGGAGTGTCAGGCATCCAGTTTTGTCTCTGTCAGCATATCCAACCTCACTTTAATAAAACATCACACAGAAAACATCTAAAACACTGAATCTAGGGCAGATATTCTTTCCGGGCCTGTCACTGTCTATTACATATACACACACACACACTTTTTGGTTTGCTTGTGGATCCACAATGATTCAGTCTTTCTGTACTGGCCTTGAAGGACTAGTTCTGCCATCATTTACTCATCCTCATGTCTTTAGAAACCTGTATGATTTCCTGTATGGTTTCCCGCAGAACACAAAAGGAGTTATTTATAACAGAATGTCCAAGGTGTTCTTTTCCTTAAAAAGAAAGTGAATGGCGATCATGGCTGTTAGTCAAGTTTGACATTTTTAGACTGAAATTTCAGGCTGTTCCTCTCACAAAGCTATGGTGTGACTTGAAATGTAATGTACAAGTCGAAATAACTACTTTTTTAAAGAAATAGTTCACCCAAAAATAAGAATTTGATGGAAATTTACCCTCAGGCCAAGATGTAGATGAGTTTGTTTCTTCAGCAGCACAGATATGGAGATCTTTAGCATTACATCATTTGCTCACCAATGGATCCTCTGCAGTGAATGGGTGCCGTCAAAAGACATTAATTGATGGACTGGATTGGTGTGGATTATTGTGATGTTTTTATCAGCTGTTTGGACTCTCATTCTGAAGGCACCCATTCACTGCAGAGGATCCATTGGTGAGCAAATGATGTAATGCTGAATTTCTCCAAATCTGTTCTGATGAAGAAACACATCTTTTAATTTTTGGGTGAACTGTCCCTTTAAATATCTTCTTGACATGTCATCCCTATAGGTAACATGATTACCATCCTGCACTATGGTTGTATTTTCGTGTGTGAGTAGATGGAGAGAGACATAAAAGAGAGATGGAATGAATGAAAGATAGAGCCATAGAAATAGAAGGTCACTTCAGCACAAATCACCCAGGGCTTGAATTTCTTTGGCCTTGGGATCTCTCAGCGTGTGTGCCAATGAACAATGCAACTTGAATCACATTGGCTTGTTTTTATTTCAGAGATTAATGAGTAAAATATCAGCGCACATGGTAGGATGATGTTTTGCATAAAAATAATGCAGCGGAGACTGTTATAACGCTCTCAATGTTGGGCTGACCTTGTATCACGGCCTCAGACTTGTAACCGGCAAATAGACACTTCTCTACAAATTAGTGCCCTTGGGAGGTTTTTCATTTTTGATGTAAGTTTTGGTCTTGTTAGTTCTCTCTAAACTCTCTGAACTTGACCATGTTAATTAAATAGTTCTTTCAAACCTAGATTTCTTTCTGGCTTTTGATAAAAGCTGACAATTTTCTAATTAAAAAGCTGTGATAAATAATACTTTTCCATAAAGCAGTTTTTGGCTAATGAATCAAACAATCAAACGTAATGCCAAACATCTATGCTGATTAAGTCATGCAACACCAGGAACTTAACAGAGTTTATGAGCTATTTCTCTATACACATTAACACTAGAATAGGAAAAGAAAAGTTGTGAGTTGTTTCATGGAGTTAAGACAAAAAATTGAGATTTTCAGGATTGTGGTAAATTAAGCTGCAAACTGATCAACTAATCAACATTCAACCTCAGCCAATGTTAAAGCAAAACGTTAAAGGGATTGTTAACCATTGTCATCATGTACTCACCCTCATGTTATTATTTTTTGTCATTTTTGAAGCTTGATAGCATCCATTGACATTCAATTTCATTGGAAATGAGCAGCATGAACATTCTGCTAAACATCTATTTTTGTGTTCAACAGAAGAAAGTCAGTCATATGGGTTTGGAACAACAGGAAGGTAAATACATAATTTTTTATTTATTTATGAGTGAACAGTTTCTTTAATCTATGGAAGCCTGTTTCCGCCACTGAATAAAAAGGTGATTGCAAATTTTTATCTCACAATTCTGACTCTATAACATGCAATTACGAGTTATAAAGTCACAATTATTAGATCTAAACTTACAATTGTAAGAAAATAATATTTTTTCTCAGAATTGGACTTTATAACTTTATAACAATTGGAAGTTTATATTTCGCAGTTCTGACTTTATTTCTCGCAACTGCAAGTTCTTGCAATTCTGAGTTTATAACTCGCAATTGCGAGTTTATATCATGCAATTCTGAGAAAAAAATTGTGAAATGTAAACTCACAATTGCGAGAAAAAAGCTTCCATATTAATCTGAAGGTTTGGTACAAACACATGGATTAGTTTTACAAAAGCACTAATATGTTGAGTCAAGTGCATATTGCTATTAATTCTGAAATAAGATGTGCAGTAAACGTCTGATATGAATGTTTTATGACTGTGTTCTCTAAGGCAACAGCGATCAATTTTACTTTCATCAACGTGAGAGCAGCAAAACCGTAATCTCGAGCTGGAATTCCCTTTAACACTGTTCTTTTTGCTTTTTATCATCTTTTAATAATTCATGTGCAGGCTGTGCGATTTCTGCAGCCCCCAGCAAAACGATAATATCCTGGAGATCAGGAGAGCTAGATGACGACTGGTTTGAAATGTACCAGCAGAAACCATCTGAGCTGTTGGACAGAAGGAGACTGTGGCAGCAGTAACTCATCTGTAATGGTCTACTGTAAAGCCTTCAGCATGAGGCTGAGTGTAAAAAAAAAACAGTCCAACGCAACATGAGTGATTTATCAATCGGTCTGTGCTGGAGACCTCGCTAACGGTTCAGCAGTGTGGAGAGGAAGAGAAGGAAAAAGTAAAGTCCATGTTTTTAAAAGTTTTCTTCTGCAGAACTTCAAATGGTCTGCCTGACTCTGGGCCTTGGTGCCTGTGGTACTGCAGAGGTGTTTGGAACGGAGCCCTGCTGTTTGAACATTTACAGTACTCTCCTCTAACCCTGCGCCGCCTCCTCTCCCTCTCCAAGCAGTCTGTTCTTCCTGTTGTTTTCAGTGGTAGTTTACAGAATATCTGTCGCCAGCTGAAATATGACTGCTTCAAAACATAGCTATTTATTTTGTGATTTAGGAAAAAATTGTTTTATATCTTGGTAAAGGGAAGGAGAGCAATGTGTGTTTGTATGTGTGAACAGATGGTAGATTTTTACATTTCCTTCAAGAAAATGAGTGGTGCTTGGCTGTGCAAATTTCACAGGCGAGTTTCAAGGGTGTTTTGGGTGGTTGCCAGGGTGGTATAATTGTACTAAAGTGTACTTTAGTACTAAGTCAGTTGCTAGGGTGTTCTGGGTGGTTGCTAGGGCGTTGCTATGCTACTAAAGTGTGTTTAGTGATTTTATGTTGCTTTGCAGTTGCTAGGGTGTTTTGAATAGTTGTTTGTGTGTTGAAATTTGGTTGATAGGGTGCTCTGGGTGGTTGCCAGGGCGTTGCTATGCTACTAAAGCGTGTTTAAGTACTATGTCAGTTGCTATTCAGTTGTTAGGGTGTTCTGAGTACTTGGCAGGGCTGTTGCCATGATTCTAAAGAGTACTAAGTGATTGTTAATATGTTGCTAGGGTGTTTTTCTGGTTGTTTATATGTTGATATTTGGTTGCTAGGGTGTTCTGGGTGGTTGCCGGGGCGTTGCTATGTTACAAAAGTGTGCTTTAGTACTAAGTCCGTTCCTATGCAGTTGCTAGGGCGTTCTGAATGGTTGCCAGGGCGTTGCTGTGCCACTAAGGTGTGTTTAGTGATTGTGTGTTGCTTTGCAGTTGCTAGGGTGTTTGTGTATTGTAGTTGGATTGCTAGGGTGTTTTGGGTGGT